CTTAATCACTCGGTCGTGGAGGGCTGGTGTTCTGCGTAGTTTAGTTTCTACTTACTTTAAACACACTAGCCTGGAAGTTTTAGTATACCTAGAAAGAGCTTGATAAGCTGGTTTGGGCACCCCTGATCTAATCTGCAACAAACTGTCTATAGCAATGTCAAATAAGGATACTTAATATTACTACATTAATAAACCGAGGACAGACTGTGGAATAAAGGAAAATATTCGTAAAGAACAGTCAGTTACTCAGACTTGCACAGTGCTTGAAAAGTAGGTGATATACATACAAAAAACATTATCTGGTGAGTAAAAAAAAAAAAAAAAAAAAAAAAAAAATATATATATATATATATATATATATATATATATATATATATATATATATATATATATATATATTATCATCAGCTAATGGTTTTTGTTTATTTGTTATTTTGAAATGCCAGTAACCATTGAATTACATTTTGTGAATCAGCAAAGACCTCTGTTTTATTTAAAAATCAACTTTAAAGTCCTACTAAAAGAAGTCTACATCTTGTTTGGCCTGAAGGTGAGTAAATTAACAACCAATTTTCTTATCCATTAAAGCTACTTATCAAGAGGTGAAATGTAAAGTCAAAGCACTCCAATCCCCCTCTAGCTGCTGACAGCAGTGCAAGTGATAAACTCTGTCCTCTCCATGTTGATAAATGAGTAGTGAGAAAAATTACACTTCAAATTGATTTTCTCCCCCTAAAGACGGTTTAACAATGATATATAATGATACAATAATGAGTTGTTCTGCATGCTTATATGGGATATAAGAATCACTGCAGTTTGTAAGGTAAGTCAAATCTGTGCTTTACAAGTTAATTGCAAAATGTTAATGCTAATGGTAAGCTAGTTGCAACAACAAACCTAACGTTACCCTAGTTACCTTCTTCTTCTTTTTTTTTTTATATGGTCTCCAAACAAACCACAGCTCTACGTAACTGCTGTACAGACTTCACCTTTAACTTAAATTATCTTTGGGAAATTTGGCAAAGTAGGGCAGTGAAATGACCAAACAAGAAATGGTCCTCCATCTGCTATTGTAGAGAAGTACAATTATTTAGATACCTTTTTGTATTCAGCGTTTTTTTCCTGAAGGGATCATTGATGGTTGTTTGGGACTAAACAAAAACTATTCCTTCAAATGTACTCCAGTCTCATCTGTGCCTCAAGTGCAAATAATCATTTAAGTAATACGTGTACCATCAGTTGTACCCTTTAAAACAATTTCATTCTAAGAGCACTTCAAAGTCAGTTTGGACCACTTTGGTTTGGAATCACCCTTCAATAAGTTGCCCCTGATTGTTCATACTCTGAAGTGTCCCTCGGAGCCAGATTTATCCCATTCGGCATACAGTGTCGGTTTGCTTTTTCAGGTCAAAGTCACAGTCATTCAAAGGTACATCTATTGTTCCCCTGGGTTCTGGTTTTCACTACTGCCTAGTCTCAAAAACCCAAAACTTCATATCCACAACAGAAGCTCTTGTTCCAGTGGTAGCTTCATTGTCCATGGACCACCCATTGGCCATCTGATTGACAGTTAATCACAGTTTGTTTCATTTTCTGTTATGTTTATGAATGTGAAAAGGTTACTTTACTAGCCCCTTCATATACAGAAATACCAGTAAATTGCTGTACAACTTGTTTCAGATTTCCCAGAGATAGGTTACAGCTGGAAGGGCATCCACTGCGCAAAACATGTTGGATAAGTTGGCGGTTCATCCTGCTGTGGCGACCCCAGATTAATAAAGGGACTATGCTGAAAAGAAAATGAATGAATGAACTTGTTTCAGAGCTTCAGAGTTTGTCAGTAGCGGTTGCTCGATAAGTACTGCTAATGGTTCCTTAGCAATGACAGATGCACAAACTCAGACAACCTAGGCTCTTTCTCTATTCTGATTAGGTACCTCTATATACATTTCTGAAGAAAGCAAAATACATTCCAGGAGCTGCATTTTTTGGCTGTTTTTGTTTTCACAAATACGCCAGAGGCTGCTGTGTACACTTTTTAAAATCTCAAATTTCTCTTGCAAGTGCCATCCGTGCCTGTTCTTCTCACATAAATCCACCATAGGCCTCTGTTGACTAACTTACTGACTGACCAATTGACCAATAACCCCAACTGTCCCCTTCCTTAACCACAGCCAATAATATTTTGAATATTGTATAATATAACCTATTGACCCGCCCTCCCCCTTCCCTAAACCCAACCACCATGTTTTGAAAAGCAATCCAGAAAATTTAGCCCCCTGATTTTTACCACATTTTCAGATTTTACCACATTATCACCCTGTTATTTACTTGTTTATTTTATTTTTTGGCTTTTGTTTTTGTCTTACCAGATTTCTGGACCGTTCTTTACCGAACTCGAACCCTGTTGATGCGGTCAACTCTGCTCTGCAGCTGAAATCCGCCGACGTACATGTCGAGTTAACTGGAAAAACTGGTAACAGCGGGAAAGCCATCCACATGCAGGTAAGTGGTCAGCTAGTAAGCGAAAAAAGGTACAGCATCATACCGCCACTTAGCATTCATTTTAAAGACAAAATGCAGCCATACATAGTTCTGCATACATCATTTGCGATCTCCAAAAACATATATAGGGCTAGGTTTTCAGAATGAGCCTATGTTGAACTCAGAAGTGTGTTGAAATTGGTAAAGGAAGTACTGCGCCTTGTTTCCACAGTTTTGTGAATTGGCCCATTGGCATCCATAGTTGAAACAAAAAAATACTATGAAGGTCAACGACAGTTTTTCATTCTTCAGTATATCTTCATTTGAGTTAGACAAAATAAACAATTTCAATCAAGTTTGGAACAATTGGAGGGTGAGCAAAAGATGACAGTTTTCATTTGTTTTGGTGAATTATCCAATTAAATATTTGCAGTTTTGTGTGGCATTTGTAACATACAATCACCTACATGGCCCTTGGGACTAATGACTTACAGTGATCAGCATAATTGAGTAGACCCCATTTTAAAAAAGAATATTTGTTTCAATTTCTCTGTGAATATAGGCAAGGCATTTTGGTGCACTTAAACAAAACAGATTTATTAAACAGATATATTTATGAAAATAATATCTTAGTTGCCAAACAGATTTAGAAATTGAAAGATAATACAATTAAATTCAATCAAAATATTGGAAAAATAAATGGCAACTTACATAATTCCACTTACTTTTTGTTTTTTTGCTTATCTCAAATTTTCCTATATATATATATATATATATATATATATATCAACACAATCTCACGGCAATTTGTAACTTTTTCATTTAGTGGCTAATTCGTACAAATTCGTACGATCTATTTCGTACATTTTAGCACGATTTGCGTATCCCCCAATGACGGATGGGTTTAGGGGTGGGGTTAGGTGCCACGCCTCCTTTTTAAATTCGTACATTTTCTTACGACTGAACTCGTACGAATTCGTACGAATTCGTACGAATTAGCCATTAAACTGCCAAAACATAAAATACTTACGTGTTCTCGTGAGATCAGGCTGATATATATATATATATATATATATATTTTTTAAACTTGTGTTTAATATTTTTCTATAGCATATACATTTGGGTGTACTAGTTTTTGGACTGTTCTTGTAGGATATTTTGTTAGATAAGCTCTAGATTTGGCTTCAGTACTGACCAATCTAATGTATATGCACAAACACAGTATCTTCCTAATAAAATATGAATGTAAAGGATAAATTTGTTAGGTGTGTACTTATATATGCTGAGCACTGTACATGTCAAAAGGTTAGCATATTAAATATGTTCAACCAGTAAGATTACCAAATGTTTAAGTAACATGTTTTCTGGCTTCATCATTAGCTTAAAATCTTGATTACTAAAATCCAACCTAATGCCAGGCAAGCACCCTAAAATGATTTTAAAAATCTGCTGAACCATTAACGCTTGAAAACTTTATTTTGCAGGAATAAGTTTAGATTTAGAGAGCCAAATCTACTCAGCAGGGGTTCGAGTATCACTTAAAAACGAATCAAATGGTTTAATATTTAAATATGCGAGCGAGGCGAGACTCGTTGCGTGTTTGAGAGTGGGTGCTTGAGATGGATGTCCCACAAACTGCCAAAGGCATTCATGACAAAAAAAAACCTCAAATGAGTCATCCGCTCCTGTAGAGGATTTCAGGTCACGTCTTACACAATCACACACTCACACAGCCTGTACATTTGCTATCTACTAAAAGCAAAAGAGAATAAATTATTAGTTGAAATCAGTAAAAAAGATAAAACTCAACAATGTCCTTTGTTGCATATGCAGTTGAAGTCAGAATTATTAGCCCCCTGTTAAACTTTATTCCTATTGAAATATTTCCCAAATGACATTTGATACATTTTTTTCTTCAGAAGAAAGTCTTATTTCTTTTATTTTGGCTAAAATAAAAGCAGTTTTTAATTTTTTAAAAACAATTTTAAAGTCAAAAATATTAGCCCCTTTAAGCTATATATTTTTACGATAGTCTACAGAACTTTAAGCTGTTTAGAAGTGAACAGAAGAATACACATTAAGCTGTATAGAAGTGTGTTGAATAATATCTAGTAAAATACTATTTACTGTCATCATGGCAAAGAAAAAATAAATCAGTTATTAGAAATAAGTTATTAAAACTATTATGTTTATAAATATGTTAAAAAACCTTCAATTAAACTGTATGTATGTATAACTGTGCATGACTGACCTGGTTAGGAAGTATTAGTGAGAATTAATAATTTTTTAGTAAAACGCCTGAAACGAAGGATAAATGTAGCCATTTTAATTCAAGTTAATAGAGCACATGGATCGTGTGGCTTCTGCACGGTGTCCTTGAAAAGGCAATTGACCAGCCTTGCACCATTTATAAAACCCACATGAAATAAATTGGATTTTACATCTCTCATTTTCATTTACACTTCATTCTTACCAGTGCATTAGTCAGAGAAAAAGGCAGAAAAAACAGCCACTGCAACAGGGAGATCAGTGTTTTTATTTAGACAAGAGGAACTCATTCACTCTGTTTTCAACAAGAGCTGAAGATGAAACACTTCAGAGTCTCCTGGCAAGATAATGCTGCTCTCTCTTTTTTCCATCTTCTCCTCTCTTTCACACACACAAATGACAGAAACATTGGGCTCATTCACAGTGCATGTGGCTGAGGAGCTAAGTACGCAAAATCCTCTTTGCACATTTTGTACGGAGACAGTTTCTCTGTTCATTTATCATCAACAATTTTGGTTGCTCCAAATATTATTCATTTATTTCTCAGCAACACGACCGTATAATTAATCTATCGGATCATTGTTATCTGTGCACGGAAGTTAATTATACTTCCTATAATGCTAAATACATTATAATACAGCAGCACTTCCATTAGTGCGTAATTACAGTACCATGAGCAAAACTAGGCGATAATAAAAGCTAATTCGCAAAAAGCAATGCAAAGGGGTCAATATATTAATCTCTCGTTCACCCCAAAGCTTCATATCCCGTTGGTTGGATGACACAGAGAAGGAACGGAAATCGGGTCCATCGCATGATGGATGCCACATTAAACACACGGATGACAGGCACAGTTTGACACCAGTACACTGAAATTAGGATTTAACAGGTCAAAGTAGCACTTTATCCAAAGCAGCCAAAGTCAGGACAACACCTCCAAGTTATCACAAACACCAGCAGGTAGAATTGTTACTCATTTTTTTTTTTTTACAGTACTTGTATATATTGATATTCATAAAGCGACATCTTCTGTTGAAAAACTTGCAAATTTTTCAATATTTCAAGACTCAATCAGCTATTGCACACTGACCTCGGATAAATACATATTTGAAAAAACCAAAATCAGGAAAAAGCTGCAATATATTTAAAAGATAATACTCGACAAGTTTGGATTTATAAAATATGTGCACATATTTTAAACTATTCTCTTTCAAGGTCTGTTCAGAAGCAAGATTTTTAAAAAATACACTACAACTACATTGTTACACAGTGGAATCACAGATTCTGAGCACGTCACAGTCACGAACAGAACAGTTGGACGAAATATTCCCCTTGGGGAGGAAAAAAAGTGGATGAAGGTGAGGCACCTGGCATGAGGGCAGCCGTCGCTTCGGTGGAATCTTCCAAACACAGTATTGCAAATTGCACGGTGGAAGAATGAAAAATGAAGGGCTCAGACAGACAAATGTTTTTCCCCCTTAGCCCTTCTGCAGTTTGTGTTTAGGCAATTAGATGCGGTAGGCAGAGGGAAGAATGACACTGACTGATGGGCAGAATAACCCAGTGTATGAGCCACCGAAGATATACAACTACACTAACAATGAAGGACACAAAAAGCCAAGCACAGAAACCAAGAGAATCAGACACAGGCTGGTATTTGCCCAGTTTCGAGCGCTTGAGATTTCCCATATAATCCTTTTATCCTTCCATTGTTGATCAAATCCAACAGAAAATCAGTGGAACAGCCATTGCGATGGTCCTGATTCATTAAGCACCCAGAAAAGCTTGGCGGAGAGCAAGAAGATTATGAATCGAAATCATTGTTTTACCTGCTTCAGTCAGGAGAAAAAGTGTCTAGAGAATTCCAGAGTGGAGAAAAAGAGAATTTAGGATGAAAAAAAAATAAATAAATACAGCGCATTTGTTAGCATCGATCACACACTGATGAGGTAAAGTCCTTGGGAACTTAAAGGATGGCTTGTGTTGACACTGAAATATTAATTAAAATAAACTAAACACCATTGGACGGTTTGGCAAATAGGGATACTAACCTGTTAACTTAAGGCATAGACATATTATGGAGATGATGAATTCAGTACTAATGTTCTCTCAAGTCATTTGAGTCCCACAAGAGCACAGCTTTGTTTCCACAGCTTGGTTTGCAGGCGTTTGTCGTAAGACAGTGCTGAGGACTCAGTCTTTCGGCCGTTGTACAGATACAGTCCTCCGATCCCCTCCAGCTCAGAGGCAGCTGCGGCGTAAATAGCCGTGGATGCTCCTTCTGCAGGCGTCTGTGGATGGACAGGAATCAGAGATCAAGACAACACAGCTGTGCACAAGCTAAGAATATTTGATCAGAGGTGGATATACACTAGCAGAAAAGGGCAGGAAAGATGTTGCCAATTCCTGGAATATAAACGCTTATTTGTCATTTCTGCTGATTGACTTCACTTGTCCTTGTACGTGACAGTAATTGCAACATTCCTCCTACAGCGTGTTTGCAGTTGTTGTGGCGTTCTTGCATCTGTGCTGTAGTGGTATTCTCGGCACTTGAAGTCTAACCCTAGTACTTGACATGTATTGGTAGCTGTAAGCTCAAGTAATTGCCACTTACATGAGCACTGTCTTGGAAGTTTCTTTGGTAAATAAACTGAAGGCTAAATAATAGTACAAAGGTTTGTAGTAGTGTAGTGCTTGGTGCATTATTAACAGGCCCAAAAACGAATGTCTTAACCCATTTTGTGCCTGTTTTGTTAGCAGATTAAAAGCAACTTATATTAAATATTTTATATATATAGTTGCAATGCAAAAGCCTTTAAGTACTGTCTGAAATGTTCTTCTAAAATGAGCATTGTTTCTCAGCCTGCAATGTTTATGTTCGGTTATTTCACTTTAAAGAACCTACTCATTACCATAAATGTGAAATTACTGAATCTACACACAGAATCGTGAGAATCGTTGAACTCTTCACATGTTTATGAACTATTGTGTAACCAAGAAATTTTAATTTCTGACATGATTCTAAACTTGTAGGAGTTTCTTTCACACAAACACAAAATAAGATATTTTGAAGAATGCTGGAAACCAACAGACATTGACATCCATAAAACAAACAAAATAAACGGCTCTGTTTTAACGATCTAAGCCAGGGGTGTTAAACCTAGGCCAGGAGTGTTAAACTCTCGGAGGGCTGCAGCCCTATATACATTTTACTATCAACCCTGCTCCAACACACTCACCTGTATGTTTTAAACAAACCCGAAGGACTTAAGTAGTTAGTTTAGGTTTATTTAGGGTTGGAACTAAACTGTGCAGAACTGCAGCCCTCCAGGAACTGAGACACCTGTGATCTAGGCGCAAAGTCCAAAGCGCATGATGGAAAAGCATTAGGGTCGTATCCCAAATCCAATTTTTATATTTTAAAGATGGATAAATATGCTCTGTGCCTGGCGCATGGTCTAACAGGGTTGTGCTTATTCTCTTAATGAGTTACGGGTGTGTTTTCAGCATATTGTACATTAAACCAATCAGAGTCTCATTTCACATTCCCTTTAAAAGTCAGTTGCATCCCGCCATGGCGCATTCACTATTTACATGGTGGACTTTGTAAGTGGAAAACTGAACGCTTCATTAGCGAGAGACCATCTGTACCAGGATAAAGAATGAGTGTCCTCCATTTGGCTTCTTTACTTTCTCTTTACTTTACTCATTTACTTTGAAGGATAAGGAAACTGTGTTGCACGCACTACACTGAAAACATCTATTAGCCTACCCATTTAATTTCGTTTGTTAAGCACAAAGATTTTTTCAAAACTATGTCTAAATTCAGTTAGAATAAATGAACAATAATAGCAAAGTGTGGTCATATCCAAACACACATTCTATTGTTATGCCCCATATCATGATTAGTATGTCTACAAAACCTGACAGGTGGACAAATCTAAAACTCATTTTTATTAAAACAAATTTAAATATTCAAATAATAAATAATACTGCTAATTATAATAACATTATACAAATGCAGAGTGTCATGAATAAACTAAAAGAAAAAACCCAGTGTGGAGGCATGGAGGCAGTGATTTTTATTTTTATGTAGAAAATAATATTTTTTGTAACATTTTAATACTTAAATTGTTTTCATAGGTAAAGATATTTGTGTATTGTTGTACACTCTGTGTTTATTAATCAATGTGTAAGGGGATTTGGACCTGCATAGACACATAACTAACACGCTCTGTGCTGTACTTTATAGTGGCCTTTAGAAGGTCAGTGGCCCAGATTATTTCAGTTGCTTAAAAATACCAACGCACCAACAATGCACCTAACACACCTCCTTTTTAGACAGGCACACCAATAAGTCTACAAAATGCAGCAAATGGATCTGCTATTTAAACAACATGGTGCATAATGTGAAAATTACAGTTTAGCTAGTCTGAAAATAGCAACAAATCACTTCAATCACATCTTGCACCTTATTGCCCATACTATGGACGTCATTGGCTGCTGATTTCCGACATTCTTCAAAATATCTTCTTTTGTGTTCAACAGGAAAAAGAAAGTTAAACAGTTTTGAAACAAGTAGAGGGAGTACACATTATAAAACTATTTAATTTCATGGGTGAACTATTACTTTAATACATGCATTGTCATTAGGTCACTTCGAAAACTTTCTTTAGGGTTTTTATTACACTGTAATGCCTTTTTGTGCTAATTTAATTTAATTTTGTTATATTTCAATTTGCATATAATATAGCTACACTTACAATATTGTATAAAGTAATATAGTCACCTAAGAATTATAAGGTTCTATCTGATATTTTTGTCAAAATTGAGTTATTGACATATTTTTATTAAATGGCAACTTATTTACGTTATGGCATATTTTTTTTTATAAGTTGTTTATAATTTAAGACTTTTTATTAAAAAAACAAGTGTTACACACATACTGTTTGCTATGGAATGCAAAAACTTTAAAGCTCAATATCTCAAAATCATTCAGAATGCAAATATAACCTTATAATTCCAAGGTGACGATATACTTGAGCATACATTTGTCAATTTACATATTTTTATTCTATATTTACTTCTTTTTTTTAATTCCATACAGTGTGGATAATTCTGACACAAAAACAAATTCATTTTATGTGTAAACATACCTGGCAAAAAAAAAAGCTTTTCTGATTCTGTTTCTAATCTGTCCTATTTAGTAAATCTGGCCTCAAATTCATAGTTTCTCCTAATTGTATAAGCAGGTATAAGTCTTTCATTTGACGTACCTGCGAAGAAGTACATGACATTTATAAGTGTTTTTTTTTCTTTTTTCAGAATTTACTAAAACTTTTAGAAAATTCTGTTGAAAAAAACTTTATCTTCCTTTTCATGAGTTGAAGTAACTAATAACTGCCTTGCCATGTAATTTAAATGTACAAGTAAGAATAAGCATGAACTTAGTTTCATAATAAGTTGTCAGGATACTGCCACTTCAGTGTTGTTGATTCTTTTTTTGGTGGCAGAGTCCAGACACTAGTCCTGTCTAGTCTAGCAAGTTTTCTTGAGTCAAGCACACATATTTTCTGTCTGCCTTTGTGTGAGCACCATCTTGCACACTGTATTGGTGTGTGTTGTATCGTCTGCTGCATGCTGTTCTATTGTCAGCGCCTCTGTGTAGTTGGTTTGGGTTGGCGCAGAGATTGGAACATGCTCATTGCATGTATGAGTCCATGGTAGATGTTTTTATTTATCGTTTACTCGTGTCTTGTATTCTGTCTGTGTTGCCGTTGTTTGTTGCACAGGATCTGTGTTTACAGTTGGCCATGTGCTGTTGTTATGTTAAACATGCGGTTAATGAGTTCTCACATTGGCTGTTTGTTCCAGTCCTGTTTTACGTGAGCACATGGCTTGAGTTGTGTCGTTGTACAGTACATGTGCTCTGCCATCTATTTACTTGTCCCATCTGTGTTATCCTAATATTTATCATTATGGTCACCTGCCCTCTTGTCAGTTTATTGGTTTGCTTTCCCTGTTTTTTCTCCAAGTGTGTCTGTCCTCTGCTGGTCAGTCTTCAATGTTTCTGTGTCGTCTTTCTTGTGTCTGTTATGTCAAGTCAAGTCAGTTTTTCATAATGATGTGTTTATCCCTCACGAGTTGTTTAACTTTTTTTTTTTTTGCCTTTTATATTAAAATATTTTTAATAAAGTCCTTAAGAAACTTCTTTCCTCCACCCCAAACCATGACATAAGTATTGTTGATTGTTAGTTCATGAAGCCTTATGCATGCAAACAAACTGAACGATATTGTAAAGTGTATAACCTGTGTAATTAATTATAAAAACACAGACACCTCTTTACCTCTGCATAAACTCTCTAATTACATTACAACACAGCAGCAGTTCCATTAGTACACAATTACAGTATAGTACTAGGCAATGATAAAAACACATTTCAAAGGCAATGCAAATGAATGATGGAGCCAGGTGGAGTTGTATTACTGTAGTTGTGTGCTGTTGTCATGTCTGAGAGATTTTTTACATTTCTTTCTCATTTTTTTCAAGAATTTTAAGTACTCTTAAGAGTATTTGACAGCTGTGTTGAGAAAACGTTTTTAATAATTATACAATATACTGTCTGTTGTCACATTTTATTAAGACATTATCCTAAAAATACAATCTTTGTCCACCTAGCATTATTTTAGAAGTTTTTGCTATTGGAAACAGTTATGTTTTTGTTGGCAACGTCCGGCGAAAGATTGACTATTTTCAAGTTCATGGGGTATCCTTTACAGCACCTAGAATATATTTGGTTAAATAAACCCAAGCATTCGTTTAGTTGTTCAAGTGTAAAAAGAGATGAAAACAAGCGTTTTGCGAGAATCAGAGAGCAAAATTGAAAATGAAATGTAACTGGTTCTGTTTTTAGCACGCCTTTTTTCTGGTCTGATTGTTATTTAGTTTTATAAGCAATTGCAAAAAAACAAAAAACAAAAAAAAAACATTTAATTCAGCTTAAAATTATTACACATTTACACAATTATTTAAACCTTGTATTTCCACATGTGGCTTTGCAGCCTCAGGTTTACACCCATGGTGCTCTCCAACTGCCATGGTTAATTATTCCTACTATCCTTCTAATTGCAAATGTATTGGCTCGCATCCATATCTGAAGATCTAAAAGTGTGGCTACACAGTTGGTGAGATTGATATGCAGACGGTCAGTTGGACTATGACCTCCAGACGGATCAATTACACAGGACAGCCGATCTTCTCTAACTGCGGTGCCAAATTCTACACTTCAAA